ACACATGTGGGAGAAACGCCCAACGCCCGGGCTGCCCCCACCAGCCTCCACGGCCAGCAACACGAGCACCGCTGGGACCGGCAGGGGCATGTGCGTCACGGGAAAACAGCTGCCTGGTCGCGACGACGGGGCCCCCCACTCCCCACGCGCCCACACCACCAGGCCAGCAGGAGCACCCCTGAACCCGCAGGAGCCGTGGGTCACAGAAGCAAGGGCTGCCTGTCGTGGACGAGCGGGCCCCATCCCAAAGCCCCCACCCACCGCCGAGGCCAGCAAGGGAGCACCCCTGACCTGAGGAGGGCGTGGCGCACGTTACAGGCTCCTGTTCTCGGACGGAGGCCCCCACTCCCAAGGCCCACCACACCGAGGCCAGCCAAGGGAAGCACCCTGACCCGGCAGTGGAGGCGTGGCGGCTGCACAGGAACAGCCTGCTGTCCTCGGACGAGCCCCCATCCCAGGCCCCACCAGCCCTCCGGACGGCGGCCCAGCAAGGAGCCCCCACCCCTGGACCTGCAGCTCGGGAGCGTTGCGTCCACGGAAACGCAAGCTGACGAGAAATTAATTTTAGCAATATATTTTATTTAGCCATATACACCCAAAAGAATATGATTTCAACATGTAATCAATATGAAATATCAGAGATATTTTACATTCTTATTTTCTTACTGAAAAGTCTCTGGATGCTAAACTTTCATTGTGAATACTCGATCTGCACCTGGAGTTTATAAAATTTAAGGTTAAAGAAGTAGAGGTGCATACTTGAGTTCGGCCCTGAGTTGACACTTTGAGTGCCTTTGAGTTTGGAATTAAGCAACATCCGTGTTTGACGAGCTCTTTGGCACCTGCGCCAGTGGCTGCCGTATGGAGAAGCGCAGTCTCAGATATGTGCGCTGAATCTGCACAGACTGGGAGTGTGTGAGGCGGGGCGTGTGGCCATGGTCGGCCGGGAGCGGCCTCGGCGTGGTGGGGCCTTGGCAGTGGGGCCTCGTCGCGACAGGCAGCTGTTCTGTGACGCCACGCTCCTGCCGGTCAGGGTGCTCCTTGCTGGCCTCAGTGTGGTGGGGCCTTGGGAGTGGGGCCTCGTCGAGATAGGCAGCTGTACCGTGACGCCACGCTCCTACAGGTCAGGGTGCTCCTTGCTGGCCTCGGCGTGGTGGGGGCCTTGGGAGTGGGGCCTCGTCTCGACAGGCAGCTGTTCCGTGACGCCACGCTCCTGCAGGTCAGGGTGCTCCTTGCTGGTCGTGGAGGCTGGTGGGGCCTTGGGAGTGGGGCCTCGTCGAGACAGGCAGCTGTTCTGTGACGCCACGCTCCTGCGGGTCAGGGTGCTCCTTGCTGGTCGTGGAGGCTGGTGGGGGAGCCGGGTGGCGTTTCTCCACGTGTGTTCAGAGTCTGGACAGCACCAGCTCCCGCCAGCAGAACCACTCTCGGGAGGGGCGCCTGGCGCCGGCCCTTGGACAAATCCCCGCGCTCTGATGTCCTTTGACGTCAGCGTCCAAGGGTGGGTAGCGGAGGTGGCGTGCTCAGCGAAAACGCAGTGTTTCTCAGGCTTCTGCCTCGTGGAGCCCACGACACAGTCACTGTTTTCTCCTGGTCTTGTCTGAGCACCTTCTCGATCCTCATGTGGAAAATAAGCCAATTCCTTCTGCTGTTTCTGAATGAACCCATCCCTGGCCCGCCAGTCTCTGCGCTCTGCTGCTGCGCTCTGCTCTGCTGACACGGGCTCTCGGTGTGTGCAGCCTTGCACCAGGCGTGTGCAGCCCTGCACCAGGCGTGTGCAGCCCTGCATCAGACGTGTGCAGCCCTGCGCCAGGCGTGTGCTCCAGAGCTGCAGACTGGGGCAGCTGGGAGGTGCGTGGTGACATGGAGATTGCTCCGAAGCAGCGAGCCCTCCTTAAGGGGCACAGACTTTCTGGGCACGGCCTGTCCTCGAGCCAGGGCGTCCCTGCAGGTCTTCTGCAGCTCACGAGTGCGCTCAGAGTTGACCTTTGATCTTTTCCCTCTTTGAACGCACATCATAGAAAAATCACTCACGAAGTTAGAGTAGCTGAAAAAGCTTCCTGTCCATATTTATGGCAAAGCCATAAATCGCTTGTGCCGGGAGTTTTTCACATGTGACGGCTGCTGTCGCTGATGTACCCTCTGAGCTGCCGCGTGGGCACGGCAGGACGGATGGTCTCTGTTGAACGGGGTCCACGCATGCTGCGTGGAGCAGTCGTGCCACCTGTGAAGTTTGCGTTTCGAAGCACAGATTTATGAGAATGTGTATGACTTTAGTACTTGCATAGTATTTTCTCTTAAGAAAATAAGAAATTCCAAATGGTTCTTTGTGGTCTTAATTCCATGTAGACAATTTTATTTTTAATTTTCTGCAAATACCCTTGTTGGAATTGTAGAATTCCGCTGTGCTTGGATGCATTCCCTCCTTAAAGTGGTTTGTGAAATAGATCTGTTTTTAAGATTCATAACATCTGACTTCATTTTGAACTCGTAACACTTCTCCAGACAAATGTTTTCAGTGTCACGGGGTCAGTGGTTTATATTGTTCTAACTTCTTTCACTTACAGTTTTAGGGTTTTTTTTGTAATTTTTTTTTATTTATTTATTTATTTTTTTTAGTTTTTCTCAGTTTACCAGTTTGTATTAATTTAGAAATTGTGGCGTCCTCAGGCGTAGCTTGGGCACGCGTGCCAGGCCTCAGGCACCATCCTGTGCACTGGCGTCCACACGCGTGTGCACTGATGTTCACACTATAAGATTTGTCAGATGTTTTGCAGCGATGTTTCCGTCGTTCCGACATTTCACTGAAATTCCTGAAGATGGCAGGAATCTATCTGAAAGGCCATTTATCTGCCTGCGTTTTATTTGACACCAAATGTGTGTTTTTAGCTCCTTTATTACCTTAACTGATCATTCGTTACGATGGGATTTGAGGTCTTTGAGTGAATTTCGTTTAATTCATCCTCAAACATCTTGTAGCCTCATTTGTTCATTTAAAATTTTCAGATTGGTCATTTACTTATTTTTTATGTCTGACTGGACTCTGGTTCATCTTCTTAAAGAAGGGACCGTGAGGGCCCGTTGCTGCGCTTGCTTGGTGTTCCGGCTCTGGTGGACAAGCCCTGTGGGTAGGGGTGAGGTGTGCGGGGCGGGCTGAGACGGGCCATGCAGCCCTGCGCCCCACTTTACTTTCTCTTAATGTGATCACGTTGGGGGCCGCAGTTGCTAACTTGGCTGAGGTCTCGCAGACCTTGACCCTACAGGAGCGATGCGCTGACTCTGGTCTGCTTGCCTGTCGACAGGGCCACAGGAGGATGGTGTGCTGCTCGGCCTGGAGCGAGGACCACCCCACCTGCAACCTGTTCACCTGCGGCTTCGACCGGCAGGCCATCGGCTGGAACATCAACATCCCCGCCTTGCTGCAGGAAAAATAAGGCCACCGGCTGGCGTCCCCTGGCCTGGTCGTTTGCCGTGGACCTTTGACTGGTGCAGACTTTCTGCGTGTTCATCCGCCGATTCCGCGAGAGTCTGGCCCTGGGGAGGGAGCTCTGTCTGTGTGTCTCCACAGCGTGCCCGGCTTGCATGCCATGTACAGAGAAACGTGTGCTGTGTGTTTATTTCTGTCCTGTGTGTGTGTGTGTGTGTGTGTGTTGGCATCCTCTGGTCAGTGCAGGTGAAGCTCACCCGCCACGTAGCCCGTGAGACGCTCTCGAGCGGTCGGCGCTGACAGGCGACCAGCAGGGCGTTGCGTCCGTGGAATTAAATGTGAACCTGTGCACTTGTTTCGGGGCACAAGCCGTCTGTTGCGTTTCCTGGAATAATCACGCACGTCTGCCTGGTACCGGGGCTGACGGCAGGAATGAGCCAAAACGTCGCGTTTACCTCGGAAGTTTTAGCGTGCGCTGTTGGTTCAACTTCAGCTCTTAATTTCTGTTACAGTTCTGTAGGAATAATCTGGATTTTAGAAGTTAAAAAAGCAGCACAGAATGTCGAGTTCTCCACATTCGGAGTTTCTTTTGAAAAGAAAAGTTTTCTGCCTTTCTTTACAGAAAATCATTTCAATCTGCTGGGGTCTCTCACTAGAAAATTTAAAGATAGGATTCCAATCACTGATGTCAGACATTGAGCAAAATTTAAAGCACTTTAGTTTATAGCTGTGGTTATAAACAGTTTTCAGAAGTTTCAAACGACTCGTCCATTGAATGTGACTTGAAGGCCCTCCCCCTGGACACAGAGGTTTTCTCTCTCTGCGCCTCGGGTCTGCGTGTCTGAGCGGGCTCCCTGCCCGCGGGGTCTCAGAGCCCCCACACTACCTCAGAGGGTCCCTGGGCAGCCCCGCGTCTCGGTGCCTGGTGAGCGTGCCGTGAGCTGTAGCCGGAATCCCGGCTTCGGTCCGGCAGGCGAGAAGGACAGTCACGCCAGGTGTGTCCTAAGGGGACGGGTCTTCCGTTAGGCTCCCGAGGTGACAGCCGGGGCAGCCGGCGCGTGACAGGGCGCGTCTGGCTCCAGTAGCCAGGGTCCCTCCCGCGCTGACCCTGCTGCCGCATGAGCACGGCCATGGCTCTTGCCTCCTGAGCAGTCGCTGTTCACCTGATGTCCGTGAGTTTGCGTTTCTCTAGTTGCAGTTTGGTGAGGAGGCATCTCCGTTCTGCCCCTGTGTGTGCCCACCTGGAGGCTGGTCCCTGGGAGAGGCGGGAAGGTGGCCTCTAACTCTGTCACGGTGACACCGTCCTGGTTCTTTGTGTTTCCCCCGTTCTGTGGTGACACGAGGGGCCCGGCTGGTACCCGCAGGCCACGCGGCGTGGTGCCTCAGGGTGCAGGGCGCTCAGGCTGTGCCTGGCGGGGCTCTCCCAGAGCGGGAAGCTCCTCACTGCTCGCGCCCCGGGGGAGCTGGTCTCGGCCTCGGATCCGCGTGTCCCCAAGATCCCGGAGGGGAGGGCGGGCCCTGGAACACGTGACAGTGACGTGACCCGGATCCGACATTGCTAACTGGGGACAGACCACACGTACTTCAGAGTCACCTCGGTTTTAAAGCTCAGACATTTGCTGTGTTTTTGAGCTTTGGCCTTCTCACCTGACCCCTCTGGTTTTGAGAGCCGGGGTCGGGCTGGTCGCTCTGGGCGTCCCGAGTGCGTCCTGCTTGTGGGGCGGCGCCGTGCCGTGCGGGTGTCGCTGTGCCTGGGCTTCCCTGGAGCCAGGACTGAGCCGCGCAGGCCGCCTGCCGGGCGCCTGGCGCTGACTCGGGAAGTCCGGGAGTCTTAGGACGGAGGTCGGGAACAAGTGGGAAAGGTGCGTGGTTAGCTAAGTCAGACTTAAGAACCAGATCTCCACCAGAGTGAAAAGCTTTGAAGCTTTTAAAAATACACATTTGTCATGGCCACCGAGTGCCAGGCAGACTAGTGACCTTCGCTGCCGCTAACCGCTCACCTCCCCGCCAGCCGGAGGGACCAGCCCCCACCCAGAGAGCAGCAGGCTCCTCGCTCCCCTCCCCCAGGGCACGGCCCTCCGGGGCGCGAGCGGAGCTCTCAGGAGCTATGTCCCCTGACGCCAACCACGTGTCGTCCCCACGCATGCTCCCCTCCCGTGCAGCCGTGGCCGTGGGCGTCACTCAGGAGCCACAGGGAAGACTGGGGCGGTGCGTGTGCGTGCGTGTGTGTGTGTGTGTGGCTGGACGTCATGCCGGCCACACATGATCTCATTTGAGGTAGTGTTTGGACGTGGGAATAGTGTTGTCCTGTGTGCCGACGTGTCCAGAATTTCAGTTAATAATGGAAGGAAAATACGTGGTTACTGGAAAATGTGTGTCCACACAGAATTCCCTAAGGGGCGTGTTGTCTCAGCCACTTTTTCTCATCAGTGTTGGTAAGAGTCAAGAACTCTGTACATATTTTGGAATCTGAAGAATCCTATGTAAATCATTTGTTACTTAAATCTGTGAAAAACAAGTTTCTTTGGAGGAAAATATGCATTTGTATGTGTTGTCTGGAATCAGCTGTTTTTATTGTATTGATGTTGTTGTTCTTAAGTGTCCATTGTCTTCATTGCAATATGAGATTCATTAAAACATCCATGTTTTGTGATTACTATTATAAAAAGTTCCACGTTACCGGGAGCCTCTCGTCTGTATCATTTTGTTATTTTTACTTTTCTTCGTTGTGCTTTGGCGAAACCTTGTCAGTGGCTATACACACATCACACAAGGACCCAGAAACCGAGCAAATATCATATCGCCCATTTGCACGACTCTGACTTTGGACTTAGGAATCCGTCGTTGGTGATTCCCGTCCGCCGACGTTAAGCGGGGCACGAGTGTGCTGCTTCGTCCCGCACCCCCGGGGGTTCTGAAGGTCTCGACAGCTGGACGTGACGTGGTGTGAGCAGCCGGCCCAGTCCCTCACAGCACCGCAACACTCGTGTTGCTCCTGTCGCAGTAAACGTGTCTGAAGGTGACAAAAAATTGCGGCTGTGGAAAGCAGGCGGCGTTTTCTGCGGGAGACGCACTGAGACGGCAGTGACTGGGCGTGGTCGCGTTCTGATCCCAGGAACCTGGGGGGGTGGTAGAGTCCTGCGGGTGGCACCCTCCCCACCGATCGCTTAACTTTCTTCCTTGCCCCTCAAACAGCATGTGATTATTTTCTGAATCTCATAATGACATCTGCAGTTAATTTAAAAGCTTGCGTTATATTATAGCGTAAAGAACCAAGAGGAGCCTGAATTCCTAGCACTCTGGAGTGCTGAGGCGGGCGGATCGTTTGAGCTCAAGAGTTGGAGAGCAGCCCTGTGGTCCCAGCTGCTCGGGAGGCCGAGGCAGGAGGATCGCTTGAGCCCTGAATTAATTAAACGCAGACACTTGTGTTCCCAAAGTGGAAGATGCACTTGGCGAAGATAACAACGTCTCTGAACTGTGAGTGACATTTCCTAACATACTGTGGATCTCTTTTAAAGGGGGAAATCCTTTAAAAGTATTTTTGTTTTGTTTTGTTTTTTGTTTTTGTTTCTTTGAGACAGAGTCTCCCTCTGTCTAGAGTGAGTGCCGTGGCATCAGCCTAACTCACAGCAACCTCAAACTCCTGGGCTCAAGTGATCCTCCTGCCTCAGCCTCCCAAGTAGTTGGGACTACAGGCATGCGCCACCCTGCCGGCTAATACTTTTCTATATATTTTTTATTTGGCCAACTAAATTTCTTTCTATTTATAGTAGAGACGGGTCTCACTCTTGCTCAGGCTGGTTTCGAACTCCTGACCTTGAGCAATCCGCCCACCTCGGCCTCCAAGAGTGCTGGGATTACAGGCGTGAGCCACGCGCCTGGCTAGGTTCTTTAAAGTTAAAAATACAGGCCGGGTGCAATGGCTCATGCCTGTAATCCAGCACTTTGGGAGGCCGAGGTAGGAGGATCGTTTGAGGCCAGGAGTTTGAGACCACCCTGGGCAACATAGCAAGACCCCGTTCTCTACAAAATATTTACAAATCTGCCAGGCGTAGTGGCACACACCTGTAGTCTCAGTTACTCGGGAGGCTGGGGCAGGAGGATTGCTGGAGCCCAGGAGTTCAGGCTCTGTGAGCTACGATGACACCACGGCACTCTTTCCAGGGTGACAGAGCAAGACCCTGTCTTGAAATAGAAAAAAAAAAACACAGTATACCAACCATACGGTTCAGCAATTCCACTCCTAGGAATTGACCCAGGAGAAACCAAAGTATATGCCAATGTTAGACTTAAACACAAATGTTCACACCAGCTTTATTTGAAATAGCTGAAAAGTGGAGGCAATCCCAGTGTCCATCAACGGGTAATGGATAAACCCTACTCAACAATAAAAAAAGAATACACTGATGTAGGCAATTACATTAATTAATATCAAAATATTTCTCTGGGTGAAAGCAAAAATAAGAGCATACTGTATAGTTGCATTAATATAAAATTCTAGAAAATGCAAATTATCCTTTAGTGACAGAAAATAGACCAGTGTCTCCCCAAGGATGGGGTGGGCTGAGGGGGTGTTCAGGGGAATATGAAGGCCAAGAGTGAACTCTTTCGGGTGGTCATGCACTGTCTTCATTGTGGTGATGATTTCACGGGTAGATATGTTAATATATGTCAAAGCTCACCAAATTTCACACTGTAAATATGTTCTGTGTGTTGTATATCCATCACACCACAAGTTGTTTAAACACAGAGAAGAAATAAAAATTAGCTCCGCCTAACAGGGATTGGTTGGAGAATATATACAATTGATTTTATTCCTGAAAAAGAAAAAACAAATTTTACCAGCAGAACATTTTTACATTATTTGTTGAGAGTCACTTCCGGAGCTAGAAGACATTCACATTGTAGAAAACGATTACAAGTTTAGCAAATATTCCAGACCTTATCCACTATGCAAATAAATGCTGTTTCCCAAACACAGACTATGGGAATAAGTTCTTATTCCAATATGTGGCCATTGCTCAGCACAACTTTTGGGACTCTCTCCTGGATGTGAGATATCTTCATGCCTTTATGCCACATAAGAAAACTACCTTTATTGTTTTACGATCACACCTGGTAAATGAAATTCTGATTACATTTCCTGCTTCAAAGCTAGGACTTCCAAAATGCATTTGAAACAGCCCAACTCCGACGCAGTGTAACACAATGCCTTTTTTTTTTACATTTCCTTAGTGACCGTTTCGTCAAGAACGCTATCTCGGAACAAAACTGGCTTCGTGATCCACACTGCGAAATGTACGCACTGAATGAACACCAGACAGCTTAGAACAATAAAACTGTATGTTGTACGTGGAAAAAGACTCATTTCTGGAGTGAATAAAATACGGTTGTTGCGATGATAAGTTTGAAACGGATGCCGGTTGCTGTTAAGAAACATTGGGGTACATCCCCCACTTCTCACGCATTCACTTTATCATGTCTGAATAGCACACCTTTTTTTCCTTAGAATTGTTACATTACTCTTTTAATGATGTGATAATATAGGATACGTTAAAGGAATATTATCGACATTCAAATTATGAAGTATGAAAATTAAAACGCAGACACTTGTGTTCCCAAAGTGGAAGATGCACTTGGCGAAGATAACAACGTCTCTGAACTGTGAGTGACATTTCCTAACATACTGTGGATCTCTTTTAAAGGGGGAAATCCTTTAAAAGTATTTTTGTTTTGTTTGTTTTTTGTTTTTATTTCTTTGAGACAGAGTCTCCCTCTGTCTAGAGTGAGTGCCGTGGCATCAGCCTAACTCACAGCAACCTCAAACTCCTGGGCTCAAGTGATCCTCCTGCCTCAGCCTCCCGAGTAGTTGGGACTACAGGCATGCGCCACCCTGCCCGGCTAATATTTTTCTATATATTTTTTTAGTTGGCCAATTAATTTCTTTCTATTTTTTAGTAGAGACGGGGTCTCGCTCTTGCTCAGGCTGGTCTTGAACTCCTGACCTTAAGCGATCCTCCCGCCTTGGCCTCCCAGAGTGCTGGGATTGCAGGCGTGAGCCACCGCGCCCGGCCCCTTACCATGTATTTTAGGTTGTCAGTGCTTGAAACACCTTCTAAGTACCCTAGAAAAAGCCTGCAGAGAGCTGTGCGTTTTTCATGGCTGTCTTCTGAATCGCAGACTAAAGACCCTTCCTGCCAGCAACAACTAGCTGTTCTAACCTAAAGCAGACCAGAAATCCATCTTTCTCCATCCACTGCCACCGACTGGCCTGGGCAGCGAGCTCCTCCCACCAGGACGATGGTGCAGTCTCCAGCGGGTGTCCACGGGGAGCCATACGCGGGGAAGGGAACCCTCCCTCTTCCTGGGGCCTCTGGAGAGAAAGCACCTGCTACTGCCCAGACCAGCCGGGCGCGCACACAGCTGCACTCTGCACAGCGGCAGCGCCGTGAGCTTCCCCACGCGCCTGTGTGCGCGGCACCCCTGCCTGGACCTGCCCCTGCCGCTTCTGGACACCTCTGCCGACCGTCACCCCTCACACGTCCCAGAGTCCCTACCTCAGTCCACAAACCCTACGGGACCCCCAGGAAACGGGCCCCAGGTGTGGTCCACACAGCTCTTGCAGCTCCGAAGACCCAATATGCGTTCTTTTTTTTTTTTTTTTTTTTTGAGACACAGTCTCGCTTTGTCGCCCAGGCTAGAGTGAGTGCCGTGGCGTCAGCCTAACTCACAGCAACCTCAAACTCCTGGGCTCAAGAGATCCTTCTGCCTCAGCCTCCCGAGTAGCTGGGACTACAGGCATGTGCCACCATGCCCGGCTAATTTTTTCTATTTATATTAGTTGGCCAATTAATTTCTTTCTATTTATAGTAGAGACGGGGTCTCGCTCTTGCTCAGGCTGGTTTAGAGCTCTTGACCTTGAGCAATCCGCCGCCTCGGTCTCCCAGAGTGCTAGGATTACAGGCGTGAGCCACCGCACCCAGCCAAAGACCCAACATGTTTTCATTTTGACCAAAAGCTGCTTAACAAAAGACATTTTAATAAAATTAATTTTATGTTACACAAGACTTTAACTGATTTCATTTTTCAGCTTCCTCCCACTGTAATATAAGCTACATGTTATATATTGCATATAACAATTGAGGTGTTCCCAGTTTTGGAATAAATTTATGAAATTCTAATCAGGGGGAAATCTGTGGACAGTAAGGGAGACAGACACAGCATCCTGATGAAATCACAGCAATGCCAGCCTTTTCCTCTTGGTTCTTTTTTTTTTTTGAGACAAGAGTCTCACTCTGTCACCCGGGCTAGAGTGAGTGCCGTGGCGTCAGCCTCGCTCACAGCAACCTCAAAACTCCTGTCATACTTCATAATTTGAATGTCGATAATATTCCTTTAACGTATCCTATATTATCACATCATTAAAAGAGTAATGTAACAATTCTAAGGAAAAAGAAGCGTGTGCTATTCCAGACATGGATAAAGTGAATGCTGAGAAAGTGGGGGGATGTACCCCAATGTTTCTTAACAGCAACCGGCATCCGTTTCAAACTTATCATCGCACAACTGTATTTTATTCACTCCAGAAATGAGTTCTTTTTCCACGTACAAACATACAGTTTTATTGTTCTAAGCTGTCTGGTGTTCATTCAGTGCGTACATTTCGCAGTGTGGATCACGAAGCC